CATATGTAAAACATTAAATAGGTATTTATTTTTTCATATGACTCAGGAATAACTAAATTTATATATCCTATCAGTGAAATTAGAGAACGCTTTTAGATATTCTGACTAGAGTAAAATATTATATTAATTTACAATACGTAATAGAATTTATTTTTTGCAACACTGCCAGTTTTTCGGAAACATTTAATTAATTTATGAAAGTGACATCTAGTGGAGCCAAAAGCCAAATAGTTTGGATACAGTTTACGCAGTTACAGAGTGCTAGTGCGTGAAAAATTTTTCATCCGCAAACAATTTTTATACATAGTTTTGTAACAGACGTATTTTATTACTTCTATAATATCATATAATGTAAGTATCGAGAGCACCCTCTCTTATCGCGTAAGCTTTTTGACAAACCATATTTTGCATAATAAATTAGTAAACAAGATTGATTATTTCAGTTGTTTATATAAAACAATACCTAACTTGATAATTATCATTACCATTAAGCAAATCTTTTCATAATATCTACTATACCTTTATCTGTTGTTCAAATAAATGGTAATAAGTCCGCAACTAAGTTGTCTTTGTCAAGTATAAATTTGTATTAATTTTCTCAAATGTACTGTATGAGCTTTTAAGATCATAAAGCTCATACAAGTACATATTTTGAGCTTAACGGTTAATGCTAAGAGATGTCGCTACTGGCAGTGTTAAGGCGGCAAGGAGAAATCGTATTACAATAGGCAAATAAGGTTGATAAGGCAACAAACCTTTGGTCTTTTGTACCTGAAAGCTTACCACGTAATTGCAGAATTGAAAGAAGATGATAGATATTGGCTCGTTTGATGACGTTGCGGGAGTGCCAATGCTAGATTTTTGTTAACTAACAGAGGCATCGCATTGTTACTGTTTATTTCCTATGCATTATTAAGTACGATCGTTTGATCATGCGTCACGCTTGACTTTCTTGCTTGCTGTGTCTGCATTCCCTTTTCATCCTTATTTATCTATAACGTTACAATTGTTTTGAATTGTATGAATTATTATTAGACAGAAATAATGCTTTATCAATATTACTGTTAATCACCATTACAAATTGCAAAACTTACATCTTTAAGAGTTGTCTTTGAGAGGTACATCGTTCTTGTATGGAAAAGATTTAAAATTTAAATTTCCTCAAATTCGCAATTTTTCATGTAGGTACATATATAATTTGGTAATTATCCTTCAATCATATTACAAGTTAGATGGTACGATCAACTAATTTCGAGTCCAGACTTAGGGCTACGTGTGACTAGTGATCACCTCGACGTCCGCTGTTCCACAACTACCTGATGTTAAGTGATACCGCCTTTTAAGAATCGATACGCTCTTTTGAAGGAAAGAGTGTCTAGATAGGCAGAAATTTCTGTCTTTTTCACGCACTATATGGAACCAGCCACCCACTGAAGTATTTTCAACCAATTCGACTTAGAGTACTTCAAAAAAAGAGCGTACTAAATCCTAAAAGGTACGGTGTTTGCGAGCCTTCTGGCAGTGCCAGTGTCCAATGGGCCATCACGTAACTGTCCGTTAGCCCCTGTTATATAAAAAAAATTAAGTCTGGTCTATGAATCTTATCATAAGTGTAGTTTAATAAGAACTATAAAAATAACAGTGATTAACAGTAAAATTTGATTTTACAGAGATTTATAATATGTAGAGAATAACGAAGAATAGAAGCTTTTAAAATCAACAAAATATTGTCAGAATTCACATTCATGTTGGTCCGATATCATATAATGGGAAATTGATTTCTCATGTAATATATTTCCATTTGTGTTAATTTCGTGAATTTTATAAAATAGTCTCATTCAATTAAAACCATGTTTCAAATATTATAACAGGATTTGAATATGGCTTTAATGCTATGCGCGACCGCCTTAGTGGTACATGGCGTCCTGGATTCTAATATTGGTATACACATATCGGGGTTAATGTTACTTAAAAAATATCAATGGAACAGACGCAATATGTCTAGTGCATCGTTTCTCAATCATTTTTATGTCGCGACCAACGAAAACGTCACTTTAAAAGTATAATTTAGTTTTATAACACTACTCTATAATTATTCATTCCTTTAATAAACGAATCTTTTGTACCTATATATAGTTTGTATTTATTATTTTTCAACAGACTGCGACCCCCCGCTTGAGAAACGATTGTCTAGGGGGTACTCCACAGAACATTTTGCTAAATATTTAAAAAACGCTTACGAAAGGTCCTGATATGAAAAACCAGTTCCAAGAGTCCTTAATTCCCAATATTTAGATTCAAAAGTTTATATTTTATTACATTGTAATAAAAATATTTGATTTCAAATGAAAACCTATTACAAGAGATATCATCGTAACTTCCTTATTCAAGTATTAAAAAAAATAGTTTTTCTTGAATTTTCGAATTTACGATACAAGGTTTAAATATATTAAAAATAATCTATAATATAAATATTGTCAATTTACAAAGCATGGACAAGATACTAAAATATATCTAAAGGACTAAAAATCACAGGAATTCAATATAATAATTAAACTCGAATTCTGACTGTTAAAATTATTAAATAGCTATAGAATCTTTTGTCTCTAGCAGTATCGAGTAAATAAACGAGACAATAGATTCTAGAACAATTTTTAATAAGACCATTCATTCATTAAATATTTATTTATAGATATTTTGCGCGTTACGAAGTTACAAGAACATTATTATACTTAATTATTAATTTATCAAATTGAAACTACGTTTGATTAGTAATAATGGCATTATTTGGAAGAAATTTTATTAACACTGAATTCGGTTTTAATACACGTTATAAGATCGGTACAAAACGTTCGTATAAATTAACATGTGCTCGCCCATTAAATAAAATTTCTTAAATATAGCAAATAATTACGTGTACAAGATTACTTTAAAATGTTACTTATAAGGAAGTTAGTTTAGACGGTCGAGTACGTCCCTCAATCTTATACCGAACATACACATTGAAAAAAAAATAAGATTAAATAAAACTCTTTTCTTCTTTTATTAATAAATTAGTATGCGTTTATTCTAAAAAACACAGCCTGCTTATTGAGTATTCAGACACAGAAAAATCATTGTAAATATCGTTCCAGTGTATAAATAATAAAACCACTTTGTTTACATCACGACATACAAAATAGGAGAAAAATAAATAGGTGGACTGCTAAAAGAATTTTCTTTCAGATTTCCATACAAAAATCAAATATTTTTCATTACACGTTTGTACCAATCTTATAAAGAAAAATTATAAATACCTTATTAACGCATTCAATGCACCCGCAGATATTACTTAAGTCTAGATTTAACAATTAAATTAAATAATTTCTATTATAACCACATAAATTCATCTATCTATACATAACATTATAACTATAGCGATCATAAGACATCCATATATTTAGGGACTACGAATTAAAACATTGGATGACGAACATTTCATTGTTTTTTCATTGCATCCGAAATTTGATATACAGTGGCGGTTTTACCGGCAGGCTTGAGTAGGCTCGAGCCTAGGGCGGTTTTTAGGGAGGCGAATTCGGGAACCGATTTTTTTGCTACCTCATAGAAATCAAATAGATTTCTGCATGACGATTTTTACTGATGTTTTACTCTGCAACAAATTTTGCGCAACCCCCAATTAATAATCGACCTCTACGCCCTCAGCTCACACTTTGTATAGGTAAAAATCTTCCCCCAGTACAGGTGGGAGGCTGGATGGTTTGTGTATAATTTTGTGTTCAAAAATCAAACCCAAAAATTATTTTACGTGCAATTTCAACGAAATTGTTCGATTCTAAAAATAATCTAGGTCATGACACTTGCATGGGCATGGGCGGCAAAATTCACAGCCTTTACCTTGAAAATTAGTAAATCCGCCACTGTTGATATAGAATAGTTAAACGGCACGTAGCGTAGTATACATATAGTTTATCTAACAGACTAGCCCTCATATTCTGGCAAAGTCAGCGATTGAATTCATTGTACCCAACGTTGGTCGAGATTGGTGAATTTAGTTCGAGCCGAAATCCGTTCGAGTTTCCATTCGCTCTACACACCACAAGAAAGTATAGTGTCTTACACAAAAATGACATTTTCACAATTTGGCATTTTCTTCTGAATACTTATTTGGTAGGTAATAGACATCAAACTGAAGTATCTCATATACAATTTGTGCACGTAAAATATATACATTAAGGTACAATTGTAAGCTTAAAAGATAGCTTATTAAGAACAGTCGTCACTGCTACGTGCCTTTACCGATACGACTCCGATACGAGAATATATTTCTATATCTAAAACTTCACTAACACAGAGTAACAGTATGTAATGAATTTTGAAGGCACAAGTATCCTGATAGTATAACATAAAGCAGGATTCTCAGTGCTCAATTCCCTTGAACGAAACTATCTGCCTATGATATGATTTGTATTAATTACTATTATGAAGTCCCAAAAGCAGGTTTAGTATGATAATGTAACATTGTTTCTAGCTAACATTTAATAGTAATTAGCCAGTAGCTTTCTGCTCTAAATTTGATTAACTTGATATTTTTTGAAGAAGTTCTCGTAAATCTAATCTTTTAATACTGTTAGACTAAACTATCAGAAAAGATGGACATTGATGTCAATGAAGACCTGAAGATTGAAAAAGCAGTCTAGATATCGCAAATTATTTTATCTTAACTCACACTATAATTGAATTTACTACCTACATCTAAGTCTCAATACATTCAAATTATATATTCATACAGATTCACGTGTAGCTTTGTCAATATCATTTTTCAATTGTCATAAAAAGGGTTGACCAGACATCTCAAGGTCTCCATTTAAAGTCTATGATATCTGAATATCAGGCAGTTTTATGTTACTTCTGTAGAAATAACCTAATAATTGCGGCAAATCACTCCAGTCCTATCTGGCTTACACATAGCTCTCTTGTTGAGCACTAGTCGACGTGTCCTAGAAAGACGCCTCCACGAGATATGTACCATCCATTGCTACGCCCGTCTGGTTCCCTTGCACTGTGCTGCCAGCTGGAATGTATTTGCCGCAAGCTTGCTGAAATTTTTAAATAGATAATTATACTTCCATTACGATGTTAAATCTTGCAGTTTTAGGAAACCTACTCTTTCATGAAACAAAAAGAATTATAATCACAATTCGTAATTCTATCAACTAATTGATTTGAATTTAGATCTATCTACTAAAATTGTTATAAAATTTATGGCCGATAATTCAATAGACAATTTAGACAAATCGAAGCTTTATATACTTAAGATAGCAATACTGATTTCAACTACATTTAAAAGAGTAAGCACACAAGCTGAGGATTGTAGGAACTTAAACTAGAACAAAAATACATATTTGTCGGAAGTGAACAAGTTGCAGTGAATGTAAGTGTAATGAGTAAAAAAAGTGCTTCGGATCATGCTATCGTTACAAATGTAGACCCATCAGTGTATATTAGTGTAAGTGTTCGCTCCCTTAACACTGCAGCTTAGCCACGCGAATCCTCTCAAGATTCTAAATACAGTTTTCATTTGGCACACGAAGCGCGTCTAATGCAAAATAAATTATTATCGCAACCCTTACTTTGAGCATGTGTGCAGTGTGTTGGCGTTGACGATACAAATGTCAATGTTGCTGTCAGTGGCTTACAGCAAGTAGCAACACGGGTTTAAGCGTTTAACGTTTACAACACTTGTGGATCTACTATCAATAAATGAAATCGCATTATTCTATCTTTAAACTGTTATTCAAGTAAAAATTCTATTAATTATTATTAATTATAAATTCGTTAGTTATCGAATGTATTTACCACCAAAACCTTTGAATGTGTGTTTAATATAGTAGAAAAATGCGACTTATTCACAATATTCGTAATTACATAATACACATTGAATTACATTTTATACCTCACATTGACAATAAATACGACGATAGCACAGCGAAAGCTTAAAATAATAACATCAATTTACAATAATCATTGAGACTTGTACAGAGTTTAAGCAACAGTTCAGCAGCCAACACCCTGCATACATTAAAAGCCTTTACGCCAGCTACCACGCAGCGATTCTCTTGACCAGATGATCCTTTATAAAATATATAAGACTTTGGCAATATAGTTTCTATACAAGACTTGTCGATATCTGCTACACAATACCATGTACTCATTTATCTAATGCGATATTGCGAATAACAAGTGTTGTTTTTCGTCTTAGATTTAAATTTTTGCTTAAAATTATTGTATAGTCGTGGTCTAATTCCAAAATGCTTATCACATTAGGTGTAAGTCTAGAATCATTTGTGTTTATATCCTGTACGTTAAGATCATATGTTATTAACAAATATATTACACATAAGCATGGCATTCACACTATCCGACACGATATTGAGAAATGTTCAAATTTAATTTATAGTAATATTTAAAGGTAATCGGATACTGTGAAAGACTCTACAATCCGAATAAATCGCTGTGTGGTAGTGCCGGCTAGACATACTGGTAAGGGGTCTTCACTGGGCGCGGCGGACACAGAAGTGTCTGACGGCCGCGACGTCGCCGTGTAACGCCGAGTACCCCGCGCTCGTTTTCTACTCGAGTCTAATAGCAGGACCTTAAATTTAAACTACCTGTTAACCAATTGGATACGAACCAGACCAGAATTTTAAGCGAAGACCAAGCGTTTCGTCGCTGACACCTGTCAAAGTGACAACGTATGAAGCGCGAACTATAGAAAGTTTTGGAACGACGATAGATGTAACAAGTTTAGATAAAAATAAATTTGTAAAGTTAAACCAAAACGATACTTAGTTTATTGTGTATAGTTTGCTAGTTGTTATGTATAATATAAGATGTGTTACAGTTGATAATCTGGGATGAGATAAAGTTATTACTATAAGGATAGACAGATTTATTCAACAATAATAAATAATGATTTAAAGAAAAGTGTATCATGACGTGGTATTCACAGTGTTAACTACGAAGTTTTAAAAAGAGTTATAGCATAACAAAATAGTTGCTACAAACTAGACTCTACGAGAAGAGGAAAATCCCATTAAATCACTCTAAATACTTACCGATATAACCTAAAAATATATCAATGAAATGTGCTAATATTATTCATATAATACTCAATTACATATACTTAAACGATACATTATCGGTTTTATATCGTACTTGCCAATGTGCCAATGCTTACATTATATGCATAGCAGAGCGATTCGTAAATTTTGTGGACAGCAAAGCAATTTATTATATATTTGGTATATATTTTTGGTATATTCTGGGAGTGTACCACGTATACGCAAGCACGTCAGGGGCACAGTCTAGCCACACAAGCAACAATACGGACATTGATTACAATATCGGTGAATTGTATTTTATGACCAATAACCAATATGGTGTGTAGACTGCCCACAACATTGCTCGTAAATTAAATGTTAATAATTATGACAAACGTGTTTGTTTCTGTTGAAGTTTAATACTTTCTTGAATGCAATCTTATTAATTTATATTCAACCTCTTTGAGGTTGTAAATACTATTTATATATAAAAAGAAAATATTGGTCATAAAAACACCGATACGCAATCGGAACATCAAGGACGGTGCTGTGTGCTGTTTATACCTCACGATGCGGACACGTGGCGAGTCCGATCGGACTGACGCACCGTACTGATCGACCGCGCTTCTGCCGTGACACAAAACCCTTATTATCATAAAAATACCTATACTACGAACGTGTTAACGTATCGAAAGCTAACCTCTACGTGAACTAACATGCCATATAAATGGTAATTATTACCATAAGTTCAGCCTTTACTACACCTCCATTGGAAACTAAATTAAAAAAGAAGCTGTTTGCAACTATGCCTTGTAAAACCTAATAACACACAAGTTAGTTCCGTTAGTTTGAAAACGTATTGATTTTAATTATCCGTTAACACATTTTGAATGTATATTAATGAAATAAGGTTGAGTTTACCTGATATTTCTGTGGACAGCAGCCGCATCGTGCGCAACAAGCCAATAAGGCCGGTGCGCGGCCAGAATGCGCAGGCGACGCTAGAGGCGAAGGAGATCCCGGCCGTTTAGCGGCCCCATTGAATGGGTTTTCCATTTCAACAAATTCACGATCCTGGAATATTTTGTCGTATTGGTTTTGAAAACCCTAAAAGGAAAGAGACTGATAGATTATAAAAATAAAAGTAAAAATTTTGAATATTGTCATGTTAGTCGTTTCTTTATTGCCAATCTAAACACAAAATACAAAACTGAAAATACAACAACAAACCGAAAAACAAAATAAAGCAATAACCGCACATGAAAAAGGAATGCCTAATGTTACGATTTTTGTCTGAAATCGTTGATAGTAAAACACATTATAAAAAGGTTTCATTCAATTATATAATAAACATGATTATTGTGAAAACTGTTTAAAATCCCACAATCTCCATCCACACAAAACCTTGTATTTACTCAACCTGACTGCCGGGCTAAGCTAAACACCACGAAAACACCATTTAAAATTATTAAAATCATTAGTACACATTAAAAAGCAAAGCATACCACACCCAGCGTAGTTTTTTACCGTAGTTCGTTCTAGGCATCTTAAAAGGTGGTGATGCTGCAACTCAAAGATATCCTCATCCCTTCCTGCGTCATCCAGCTCCACTCCAGACTCCTGAGCAGCCAGGCGAGCCTCAGCAGCCTTCTTCTTGGAGACGAAAGCAGCACCTGATGAAGCTTTGGCAATACGGATGCGGGCGAGCCGAGCTTTCTAAAATTAGATATGCATAACAATTTGATTCACACTTAAACCTATATGTATATTATATGATTTATTTTTTTTTACATTTCACAAATTAAGGGTAAGGTAGCAGGAAACTTAGTGTTATAATATACGTATATTATTTTCTTTATAATAATTAAAAATTGGGGGGGGGGAAAGGGTGTCAAGTACACGGTGGTGTGCATTGATGCTGGATGCATGCTTAAAAAATGCTGTGTTTGCTAGCGTACGCCTTGCGAGTGTGTGGCTTGGCTATATTGCGCGCACCCGAAAGTCCGATTCACAGGCGTCCCAGTCGCCTCCCCTGGATACTGTACAGATCTGTTAACGGGTTACACACAATAACATCCTCCTCGGGGTCTGTACTGCTGACTGTGACGGGCGAAGGCGAGTCATCGGCGCCTCAAAACCGATCAAGCAACAAGTGTGACTCGAAAGAGCCACCTCAAACCGTAAACCTGTGGTCATGTCTCACGGGGACCGGGGGTCTGGACTTTATCATCTGGGCCGCGAGGAAGAAAACCTCTATAATAAATTACCCCTATACTACGGTGGGAAACGCGCCAAGGTATGTGTATGCCCCTACATGAGGTGTATATGGCTGATGGGATAACTCAGTCTCTAGCGTCCAACTTCAACGAATCTGGCAAACGTTGTCGTACTGTGCCTTCTTCTGGGAAAAAGGGCGTCACCCTGGAAGCGACCTGTTTATTCGACCCTACTCGTGGGAACATAATGCAAAGAACACCACCTAAATCTTCGTCAATCAACGACGTCACTAAGCAATACCCAGGCGGCCCCTCGTATTCTGGGGGGGAATTTTGCCACACCAAGCGGAATCAACCACAGAAAAGAAGCAAAAAATTCTGACTCAGCAGCTTTTTCACCCTGCACTATTTAATAGAACTCGAACTCGAACTAGTGTGCCCTGGCAAGAACCAATCAAAATTCAAGAAAAGACAAATCAAGCCAAAAGACAGCGCGGGGGGCCGGGGAAGCCAACAGTAGGAGACGCCGAAGGACAAAACACCTAAAAACCACCACCAATAAGAAATTTTGTATGGTGCCCCCAAGGGGAAAAAAAGGGCAAAAAAAAAACCTAAACCACCACCATAATTGATGACCTTGAAAAACTCACCCAACTCATCGAAGAAGTTATTGAAAAGAATGATTACACCTATAAAATCGTATCCAAAAACCAGCTAATAATCTCGTCTAACACGGTTGACAAATATAAGATTCTGATCGAGCACATAAGAAGTAAAGGGCTTATAGGTCACACATTTACACGCAAAGACCAAAAATGCATGAGGATTGTTATTAAACATCTTCACTTCAGCACACCTAAAGATGCCATTATAGAAGCAGTAGAAAAAACTGGAAACAAAGTACAAGGAGAAATAATTACTGCCCGGAAACAAGGAACCAAAGAGCCACTAAATACATTTTTTGTCAATGTGGCTCCACATGAAAATAATAAATTTGTCAAAGAAATTAAAGTCATATACAACCAGAAAGTCACGATAGAAGACCCAATAAGAAAAATGACAGTGGTACAATGCAAAAGGTGCCAACAATATGGGCACAGCAAAAATAACTGTATGAGGCCTTACAGATGCGTAAAGTGTGCTGGGGCACATAAAACTACTACGTGCACAATAAATGATAGCACTCCAGCAGTATGCGCACTATGCTCAGGAAGCCACCCTGCTAGCTACAAAGGATGCCAGGTGTATAGGGAAGTCCTAGCAAGAAAGAAAATTGGAAACAAGGTTCAGCCATATCTAAAATCAAGAACCACTCTGGAAGTGCGAACTAAGAACTCTGAAAATAATGAGCCCCCTAATGACATGGATGTGATAGTCATTGAGCCTGATAATCACTCCAAGACTACCCAACCGAAACATCGGCTACCAAGCGTAAAAGAATCCCTGGGACCCTATAGTGAAGCTCCCAAAAATTCAACCAAATCTGTAGCATACCATACAGAGACACAAAAATCATACACGAGAGATAACACTGACCAAACGGAACGACTGATACACAGGAAAGACAAAGTTGACCATATAGATTCACAGAGAACAAATACAGAAAACCACGTTGACCATGAGTCACAAAGAACATACCTGAGAAAAATAGAACTCGGGCAAGAAAATAGATTCAGTCTAGAAGCACTTATAGTGAAACAGACTGAAAGAATCGATCAACTCATTTCACAACTCAGCACAATGATGAACCTCATCATGACAATCTTCAGTAGGCTTCCACAATGATGTCGTTACGTATCGCTACCTGGAATATCAATGGCCTAACGCCAAATAAAAAAGAATTAGAAATAATGTTAAAACATAACAAAATCGACATTGGTTTAATATCTGAAACCCACCTAAATGACCGTAAGAATATTAAGATAGACAACTATGACGTATATTATACTAACCATCCCGATACCACATCACACGGTGGATCAGCAGTAATTGTAAAGAGTAACATCGGACACCACCTCCATAGCGAGTTTCGGGAAGACTGGATGCAAGCCACTACCATCACTATAAATGCAAGCATGGGCCCCATCAATGTAAGCGCTGTATATTGTCCACCAAAGCATAAACCGAAACAACACATGTTTGACCGCTATTTTCAAAGCTTGGGAAACAGATACATAAGTGGTGGGGACTGGAACTGTAAACACACTCATTGGGGATCAAGATTGACAAACAGCAAAGGACGTGAGTTGAAAAAATGTGTCGATAAACACAAACTTATTACACTGGGAACAGGTAAACCAACTTATTGGCCAACAGATGTCAACAGAATACCCGACCTAGTGGACTTTTTTGTGGTGAAGGGACTGTCTGATGTGTATTTTGACGTGGCATTATCGTCTGATGGTGGGTCTGACCACACCCCTATCATAGCAACATTTAGCGTTTCCGCTATACATAGAGCACAGAGACTGGCGCTATATAATCATAAAACAGACTGGGACGCATTTGCTGAATACTTAGAAGATGAAGTTGAACTAAAGGTTAGGCTCAAAACAGAAGAAGATATAGATGAGACAACATTCTACATCACGAATCTCATACAAGTAGCTGCGTGGCGTGCCACCCCGACACTGAGCTCTTCCAATCAATTAGGTAACATACCACTGGAAATACGCAACAAACTGGAAGAAAAACGGAGACAAAGAAGGCGATTACACACCAGCAGATCAGATGTAGACAGGTCGGAATTCAATAGAATATCTAGAGAACTAAAAGAGTTAATTAAAGAAAATCAAAACACAACCTTCCAAGAAAAACTCTGTACACTCTCGGCTCATAAGAAGGATAATTACTCACTCTGGAAAATAACTAAGAACTTTAAAAGACCACATAACCATATACCACCTATAAGGATATCTACGAACGATCCGTGGGCTAGGAGCGGCAGTGAAAAAGCTGAACTTTTCGCTAGACACCTAAGCGAAGTCTTCAAACCAAACCAATCATCCATGACTGAGTTTGAAGAGGAAGTGGATAGAATGATCAACAGTGACCAGCAGTTATCACTACCGCTAAAACTTGTCACTCCACAAGAATTAACGCGCAAAATAAGCTATCTGGAAAACAAAAAGGCTCCTGGTTTCGACCTAATAACGGGTGAAATCCTTAAAAAACTACCTAGAAAAGCAATAGTACTTTTAACAATGTTATTCAATGCCATTTTTAGAATACAGTACTACCCAAAGCTATGGAAGATATCACAAATAATTATGATTGTAAAGCCAGGGAAACCCCCAACAGAACCTAGCTCATACAGGCCTATAAGTCTTCTCCCAACAATATCTAAGGTTTTTGAAAAAACTCTTCTGCGGAGACTAAAACCAGTCCTGGACCAAAACAGAATTATACCCGATCACCAATTTGGTTTCCGGGAAAAACATGCTACTGTAGAACAAGTACACCGAGTGGTTCACAAAATAAGACAATCGCTAGAGAAAAAAGAATATTGTTCAGCAGTATTCATAGATATTCAGCAGGCATTCGATAGAGTTTGGCACAAAGGATTGTTGTACAAGCTGAAAACCCTCCTACCAAACTCATTCTATATGATCCTAAAATCTTATCTAGATCAAAGAAGATTCCAAGTAAAGTATGAGGAGGAACTTTCAAGGCTCTATTACATCACTGCCTCAGTTCCACAAGGATCAGTGCTTGGCCCAGTCCTTTATTCAATATATACGGCAGACTTGCCTGAAACAGAAAATGTCGTAACAGCAACATACGCAGATGACACTGCATGCCTTGCAAGCGATGTGAACGCGAATAACGCTTCACTGAAACTACAGGAACAGCTCAATAAGGTGAACGTGTGGCTGCAGAGGTGGAGAATCAAGCCTAGCATAACTAAATCAATACAAGTAACATTTACACTGCGAAAGGGCGACTGTCCACCTGTGCATATAGAAGACAAACCGTTACCAAGCAAAAACAGCGTGAAATATCTCGGACTACATCTGGACAGAAGACTGACCTGGGCTAATCATATAAAAGCCAAGAAAACAGAAGCCACCTTGAAATTCAAAGAGCTATCCTGGCTTCTAGGCCCGCAATCTAGGCTGACCCTGAGTAACAAATTGCTTGTGTACAAGGCCATCATACAACCAGTGTGGACATATGGAATAGAACTCTGGGGCTGTGCAAGCAATTCTAACATTGAAATCCTCCAAAGATTTCAAAACATTGCACTGAGAACTATTTCATGTGCACACTGGTTTGTGAGAAACACGGAAATACACGAATATCTGGAGATGCCAACCGTAAAGGAAGTAATCCGCAAAAACAGTAGTAGATACAGGGAAAGGTTAACCAAACATACAAATGAACTGGCTAAGAATCTGCTAACCCCAGGAGATGATGTAACTCGCCTAAAAAGATGGCAAATACTAGACCTAGACCAGAGAAACTGACCTACAATAAAAATCCAGTTTCTACCAACACTTACGGTGCCTTTCAATGGAATCGCACCCAACCAAAATTAACCTCAGAAAATATCTGATTATGGCTGATAGCCGATTGCAGATGAACAAGAACACAAAAAAAAAAAAAAAAAAACATTTCACAAATTAAGGGTAAGGTAGCAGGAACCTTAGTGTTATAATATACGTATATTATTTTCTTTATAATAATAAATATGGATAAGATTTCAAGAAATATTTCACATAAAGTAAAATTTGTGGTTTAATAGTATTTATATCTTCGTGACATTCACTCATTCCGCTGCACTTTACTGCTTACTTGGCCTTTGACCCTTTTTCCTATCTTTTAAATTATCTCATCTATTTTAAAATTGGGAATAATTAATCTTTTACGTCATTTTCATTAATAAAGGGAACTTAGGATAAAGCATGTAGCAGTTAGGTTATACTGGTCCAATAATAACCATTTTTAAAGAATCTTTGATAGGCCGCAAACATGAAAAAAGAAAGTTGTCTTTATCAGATACCTACTGTTTAACTCGTTTTTCACGAATGGCCAAATTCCATATTCAAAAAACCATTATTGCTTCAATCCACGCCAAGCTTTAGAAAATAAACGACTCTACTTGATCATAGATTATAGAGTTTTGAGAATAGAACGCGCCTGAAGGAGCACAACGCTGACCTTGGAAAGTTGTAAAGGCCCGTTTAAGAAGCTTATAAAAGCAACCAGTCTTTGTATATCTTACTCTTTGAGCCTTCCTCTTATCAGCTCTCTGGTTCTGATGATAGATCCGCGAGAAGTTAGAGACAATGACAGGCACAGGCAGAGCGATGACGAGTACTCCCGAAAGGGAACACACACCTCCCACTATCTTACCAGCGATAGTGCCGGGTACCATGTCTCCGTACCTGAAAATGACACGCATACTCAGTAATATATTAAAATAACCAACACTTATTTTTAGTGAGGGCAGTGGGGACTTCAAATAAAAAGATAACATAGGCCGGCTATAACCAAAAGACAGAAAATACTTTGTTTTTGTATAATATGTACAAACACCAGTAGCGCTACAACCTTTTTAGATCTGGGCCTCAGATTTCTGTTTCTGATCATTTACTTTTCTAATAGGCATCTGAATAGCCTACTGTCACATACGCCTCGGCAGATTTTTAACGATGTTTTCCTTCACCATGCGAACGAGTATTAAATGCGCTTAAACAGAAAGTCTATTAGTTCACAGCCAGGGTTAGAACCTACAAACTCAGGGATGATATTCGCACGCTGAAGAACTTCTCACTGCTCTTAATATTATGGGCGAATATAATAATACCGAATACACGCAATAATGTGAATAATAAATACGAATTCACGCTAAATCAAAGTTTAATAATATTATTGCGTGCTCGGCTTTAAATTGCACATATTAACATTGCTTGACATTTGTAATGCGGATTACATAACGACACTTTATTGTTAGTGCAAAGCTATTGCAATAATCACACACATCAATATTGTCGACATGTATATGAAGTTCACAAGTAATTATATGAGGAAATACCGAATAACTAGACACTGTTTTTAGGCTATCGTATATACAAACAGGTATACTATTTTATACATACATATAGTAATACTTGGGTTCCTATCAATTCTCAAGAATTATGTGTTTATTCGTGCTACAAGATTTCTACTCAATAGTTTTTATATGAATAAACGTATTATAATTTGTAAGACTTAATTTATTGCATGACCTCCTTTATAAAATAGCATCTAAAAAAACAGTGGCGCTACAACCTCTTTAGGTCTTGGCCTCAGATTTCTGAATCTGTTTCATGATCATTTTTTTAAATCTAATAGGCAAGTAGGTGATCAGCCTCCAGTTCCTGACACAAGCCGTCGACGTTTTGGGTCTAAGACATGTCGGTTTCCTCACGATGTTTTCCTTCACCATTCGAGCAAATGTTAAATGCGCACATAGAAAGCAAGTCCATTGGTGCACAGCTGGGGATCGAACCTACGACCTCAGGGATGAGAGTCGCACACTGAAGCTACTAGGCCAACACTGCTCTTAGCATCTAATATACTAAGCAAAAAATTTGTTAAACAATTGACACTAACAACGATTGACAAAACAAATGACGAGTTGACGTAGGATTTTCCCGCCCAACACGTTGTCCATTATGATTTCATTGAATCTAATAAATGCGTAATAAATCTATAAATAAACTGTTTAAAAACGTAGTACGGGAAGTTACTAATGGAGTAAACGGTGGAAAATTAACGACTGTGCGCCGCTTTGATCTTCCAATATTAAGTAATATTCACTAATGTACGGCTCAATTAGAAGGCGAAAATAGTTAAGGTGAGAATTAAGGTGGCGTACGTGAGAAACTGTTTATCGCAATACATATCTGCAACAGAGAATCCCAAGTACTCAGTTATTTGTATATAACCTTTCCACGTGCCACGTGACTCAAACAATGTATGAAGTATCGTAACCATTCCAATATGGCGTAGGGCATGCACATTTCTGCATGTTTCACTAAATATTATTGTATTTAGGTGGTTAAAGATATGATTTTTTAATCTCTTACTTATGCTTGACTGTTTGAATAAATTATGCATTATTTTGTTTTCTATAATAATTAATCATAATTACGTGTTTGTATTAAATTTATATTTTATTTAGTCCAGGAGGTACCATACTGGCTGCTGTCAATACACTAAGTGAATATTCGAAGACGAGTTTTTATTCACAATTATGCACTAAATAGCCTTATTTTAACTGTATTACCTACATATGGTATTTTTATGAATGTATGTGTTAATAAATCGTTTTGGTCATCTAATAAATGTAAACAACCGTGTCCTTCGCGAACATTGGTGAGCACAAGATTAGATATAATATATTTTGTTTTATTACAAAGAAATCACCTCTAAGGTTGATTGCGATCTACTTAATTATTGAGACATGTGAACGTTTAATTAATAACTTAACGTTATTGTTGTAAACAGTGAAGATCTTAATGAAATAGTTTAATTTTGTAATGTAATAATTAAATAACATTTAATAAAGCTGGCGTTCCCTTGTTTTCGGCTCACTTTGAGTCACCGCGCCAGCGAAAGTAAATATTTAATAGAATATGTTCTTTCCGTAAATTTCATGTATGGTCTGTATAACACTAACTTTTATTTGTAATTCTAGATTATTTGAAGATCAAAGTACTAAAAACTGGTGAACATCCTTCAACAATTAAATTGTATCTACTTTTTTATGATTAGAATGTGACTTAAATGATTACAGTACTATGCAACTTACATCTAAGCACTTCGTAACACGATTTTTGGCTCGGTTAAAGATATGATTTTATTAATATCGCTTTGAGAAAACTCCAAAGCGTCTAATTGCAGCGTCTTGAGTTGTCAAGGGCTCGTTTACTCTGGCTCTAGGTTTTTATTTTTAAGCGATCGTTGAGGGCCGCCGTTAAGTCGAGCTAAGATAAACTCTTTGTTATTTTGAATTCTAAAAAGAAGTTTATTTGAATTGCCCTTGTTATAAGTGCGGTACGCATAAGTGGGGCTGGGATAAAGTGTTCCTGCTTACACAAAATAGTGTATTAGTTGAAGCTCGCGGTGTTGTCTGCGTTAGACTTGCCACAACTTATAACTTTCAAAGCACGAAACCGTTCACCACATTTTAAGATTATTTACTATTAAAATACCAGTTTGATTACGAACGAATGCACTGGTGTGTCCCTTTTCATGACAGCGTCAAGGAGACAAAAGGCTCTTGTTCAATGTAATTTTATGTGAATCAAATAAACACGTAAAATCAGGATTTCACTGGTACGACTAATCTTTTAAGAATTAATGGCCACTGGTGTGTGTGTTTTATTGGACAAGGTCGAAGGGAAAAGACGCGCTGGCAGAAGGAGGAAGTCGTGGCTCCGCAATATCGCAGAATGGATGGGAGTGGGCAGCGTAGAACAGCTGATGCGCTTGGCGAAGAATTAGAAGGAGTATGACGAGCTGACCGCCAACCTCCTGTAGCGGAAAGACACTACAAGAAGAAGCTGTATGTGTGATTACAGAATAATTAAAAAAAAATCGGTTGTCTGTAAAGTCGGTTTACTGACGATAGTTGAACGTGACAACGTCATAAGAAAATACTGATGGAATGGTTGCATTTTTCAAAAGAAAATTTTAATTTTATTTGTTTGATAGTTATTTTGTATGGATATAGAGAAGGAGGTAAATGGAAATCACAATTAAGTTGATCAAGTTACATTTATTTATACTCATAAATACAATTATGCCAATTTTTTAACGAACGAACGCTGCCGAACTGGGAGGCCGATTGTGCCTCTATTCCGCGCTCTCGTTTGCACTTCAAGCCTTAATGGAACGCCTCAGAGCGAGGTAACGCCGCATGCGTCATGTTTTTTCGTGCGTGCAGCCGGCTCCATCGAATTATAAGATGTTGGCACGTCAAAAAGCCTTTTAAAATCATAAGCGTTTTGGTAGTATTTAATAGAACAGCGTAGCATGACAATGATTAAGCTGTTGAAAGTTTTAAAACCATTTGTGAAGAGACCTAAGAATTTCAGCTTAACAACGTTACGAACTTTTGAAAATGATATAATCGCTACCGTCAATAAAACTAAACAATTACCTTGTCTCATCACAATGACAATTACTCATCGCAATTTAAATAATTCTAAAGAATGATTTATTTTAAAACAATAGTATGTATAAATATACTAGACACAAAATTTATTTTCTAGGAAACAATTACATAACTAATGAGGCACGTTGGGAAGTAATTAAATTTCACAGTTTACTTGTCATCAATTCTATGTCGTACTAATTTCATGTACCAACAGTTCCAAACAAACAATTTCTTATAATTGTCTCTTATGGGTATGTATTAAATATAATATAGAGAATCGTCTTTGATTTTACTATTCTGAACGTTGTAGGAGAATTAAGAAACACTGTATTACAAATATAGATTGATTGTCATTTGAAAACTGAGGAAAATTTTTACAACACTGCCGATTAAATGCGATTTCGGATTCGGTTGTATCTTTTAAAAAGGAATTAATGATAAATATGAACATAATGGATTTATCTGATATTGATGGATTTTTATAGGTAGATTTATTTTTTATTTTTAACATTGTCTAAAGCTACTTACATTTATCTAAAAAACAATTGGATAATAATATTCATTGATATTAGTTTTTTTTATTAAATTAAGCCAGCAAACTCCTGATGAGTGTATTATAAAAAAAACTGATTTTAGATTAAATATATATTCGATTTCTTTGAATACAGAATTTCTTTTTTACTGTTAAATACAATTTAATGTTATATTTGAATGTGTTGAATTCAATAAAAACCCAAAAGGCTTTTTAATTAGGGTTGGAAGCGAAGTTTCATTTGTTTTAAAATATTAAATTTGTGTAAATTGGTACGCTTTTGAACTTGCTCATGTGAATGATTAATATTATTTGTTTATTTTTTAAAACTGTTTAGCCTCAAATTTAATGTTAGATAAATGTAGAATTCTGCTTCATTGCTGAATAAACTAGTATAGGTACCCTTACATATGAAATAGGTGTTTTCTATATTTCATTTTTCCATTTTATAAATAGAGTGACGCCAAAAAAAAAACGGGACAGTGAAATGGATCATGGTTATTGAAAAACAAATGCATGAGTAAATTGCTGTAGGAGTTGAAAATTTAATTTGGAATTCCTAAACAAAGAGGTATTTGAGGTCAAACTGGCCAGTATGACAAAACGTCAATTTCATGTGTAAGGACCTAATATTATTAAGAGGAAAGGTTTGATTGTTTGTTCGCATGGCTTCGAAACTAGGACCGATATGAAAAAT